TGTGTCTTTAAACTTTGTGGACTACGGTTGTACCAAGAAAGTCAAAAAGAACCACCTTCGATCCATTACATCCCAACTCCTGACCCTACCCTTCCAGGCAATACGCTGCTGGATCTCAGGTAGACAGAGAGAGAGTGTGTGTGTGTGTGAGAGAGAGAGAGAGAGAGAGAGAATGGGTGGGGGGGGGGAAGTGAATATAAAAGAGAGGGAAAATGAGTTTTCTCCAAGTGAACATAGCCATGTTTCCATCTAATTATCAAGCAAATTTTAAGCAAACTTCTGAAATGTCGCAAAAAAAAAGACGAATTAGGAACGTTTCCATCAGCTGGTTTGGAGCGAATAAACCAGGCTGTGCCAAGTGTAGTTATGTCAGAAGTTGACGCATGGCTGTATTAAACAAGAAGGTTGCAAACAAGAAATAGATCTGAGAAAAATGGAGAGAAGTCCTCAGAAAGGTGTTTCAAGTGGGCAGCCATGTTTCTGCGCTGATCAGGTATGTGAGGTAAGTGTTCGCTAAGACAGAACTTATTTGGCAAAGGTTTTTCCGTCTCCCATTTAACGCATTAAGGACAGAACCACCTCAAGCAAGCATGAAAACTTTTTGTGAAATCGAGGAGTTTTTTTTTCGCGTTTTCCATTTCTATCAGACTTCTCTAATGTGATACTTCAAAATGCTTATAAAAAATAATGGAAACACAAGTTATGACATTTAAGTAATTTCTGAAATTAAAATGTTTCTTTATTTTCCAGAGTATGATAACTCTTCTTTGGGGATTTTCTGTCATCTTCAGATATTCCACTGCTTTGAATACCTTGCAGAAATCATAAATCTGTCATATTTAAGGTCATGTGAGATCAAAATAGGGCATTATTTGGCATATTCAGCCAAGTGTTAGTTGTTAACACTAACGCTAATCCAGAACATGACTGAAAACGTGCATAGATTTGAGTAATATAAGATTTCCTGTTTTCTCAAATTTGATTTAAAAAGGCTTAAAACAAAGTCATAACAAAGTTTCTCACAAGGTGTGTATGTTTGGATTCAGGTGTGGAGCCTCTGGGGTCAGAATGGAGCAGTGAAGCCCAGGTGTGGTTCCAGTCTTTGGTGGATGGCGAGCAGCTTTCTGCACGTGTCCTTTCTTTCACTAAACAAGGCTACGGTTTGGAGCTGGAGAGCAGAGGGCAGAATGTGGCAGCTGCCCTAATTTCTGAGCAACTAGCCAAAGCTCCTGGAGCGATTCCCAAAGAGATGCGTGTAACCACAGGCTCTGGAGCCCTACACCAAGAGGAAATAAAGGAAAATGAGCACAGCCAAGTACATGCACAAGCCTCCAGCCAGACAGGAGACCGTTCTAAAGAGACCCCAACTAAAGGACTGACTGCAACACTGTCACAAGGTCAGCTAGACTCCCAAAGATGAAATGCAGTGGTTGATGATTTGAGGAGTCGGATTGAAGTTGTGTGTTGTAATCTATTATTTCAGCACCTTCTTTCCCAGTGGACTGGAAGACAGTAGAGCTGCCTCTCAACGAGACCTTTCAGCCTTGCTTTGCAGCTGTCGTCAGTCCTTCCCTCTTCTACCTGCTCGGTCCTAGCCAGGGTCAGAACACTCACTCTTGTCCTTGTCTGTCATAAGAAGATGCACAAAAGGTTGAAAAGCGGCTTCTCCTTCCTGTTCTAAGTTCTGTGTGGTGTTGTGCAGTGGACCAGCAGAAGCTCAAGGAGGTGATGATGGAGCTGGCTGCCTCCTGCAGCAACAACCAAGCCTCTTCATCCTCCACCGTCCTCAGCAGACCAGCTCCTGGGGCCGCCTGCTGTGCCCGGTTCTCTGGTGAGGAAGACTTATTATTCCATAAAAAATATTCCTTACATTATAAAAACATAAGTCCAGAGATAAACTTTATCCTATGGTCTTTCTATCACATTGCCAGATAGACATAATGAGTGGCTGCCCAAACTGAAAGTGTCAATCCTGGCTTCAATCACCTCCTCTGCTCATTTCCCCCCAAAAAATCTTTGACAAGCTTCTTTCTAGAAGTAACTGGCATCTCTAAAACCATCAGCTGTTGAACAGGCATGTAGTGAACATACAGTAAAAAGGAGACAGTGACAGAAGAAGCAAAGGTCTCCACACCACTGTAGACCTGACTTGATTTGAGTGAGCCTAGTTCAGTGTTGGCAAGCATTGCCTTGACCCCTTAAAGCCACTAGGTGTCAGACATGTTGATTAAAAGTGAATGACTGTCAGCAAGCTCCTGAATCCATCAGGTGTTTCACATCCTAACATAATATGAAGTAAAGTCTTTGCAAGAAATAACACAATTAGGAAAAAAAGAAGCAATGCAGCTTCAAGTCGAGCCATGCATAATAGCTAACAATATTAATGTTGAAACATCATCATAATAATATGTCTAAAATTACAGTTGCATTCCACTAGGTGGATTAGTTTTCACTTTACTTCAGGAAATTGCGTCCAGAGGTTAATAGATACCGGCAGCAGGGGAAAACCCCATCACTCAGGCAGTATCATTCCCACGCACCGTTTAATTATTCCAGACAAGAGACCCTATAAGGACAAACCAGCTGATCCATCATTGAGCTGAGGCACACACGCAGTCTGTAGCTATGAATTCCATTCTCTTATTCTCCCATCCCGTTTTTTTATGTTTGCTGTCTGACTGTGCTAGAGACCCCACCTGCAGTTGTTGCCCCTACAGACCTAAACTGGTAATTTAGTGTCTGCTAGTAGATATAATTACACAGCACGAGCTCAGCCAAGTGTAGGAGTGGCTCTTCTTTAAACACAGTATGCAACTACGGAGACTATAGCCGGGCATACATTCCGCAGATAACAACAGGGTCTGTTTTAATGCAGTTTTCAGTGCCGTCTGTAGGTTCTTAGCAGGTAAAGGCTCATTAGTTGTGTTTTTTTTGTTTGTTTTTGTTTGTTTTTTGGAAGCCTTGAATTCTTATGATCAACAAAATATGGAAGATTTATTTTACTATACAATCCCATTTTTAGTAAATTTGTTGAAAATAAATTTCATAGATGCATAAATCTATCAAAGCATTAAAATGCACAAAACACCCTCTGGAGGTTGGGACATGAAGGTAAAAACACTGTGAAAACATTTAATTTGGATCTGTTGGTGCTAACAAAACTGCCAATATATGGAATTCACACGTGGTTGGACATTTTCTTTTTCCCAGTTGACAATAACTGGTACCGTGCGGTTGTCCTGGAGGTCGGTGAGAATGAGATGAGCGTCATCTATGCAGATTACGGCAACAGTGAAAAGGTGCCATTCTCCCGTATCTTACCCATCCCCATGCACCTGCTGCAGCTTCCCTTTCAGATCACTCGCTGCACCCTCACTGGTAAGGCAAACGGCCTGTCGTTCTTGTCTGAGATTATTAAAAAACTTGACCACAGGTGTTCTTTGAAATTGCTGTGTGCTGCAGAATTTTACTCCCTCATAACACCCCTTTACCCCCGCTCCTCTGTTACTAGGTAAAGAACATTTCCCTGCAGTGATGCCAGAGGAAGTGCAACATATGTTTCAAAGCCTGCTGTTGGATGGCGTCCTCGCAACTGTGCAGTCCTTCGATGGCTCTGCTAACGTGCTCTCATTAACTCTGCCTGTTGAGAGGGGCGGAGGCCACCTCACTGCCATGATCCTGGATGCACTGCAGGCCACCGTCAAGGCCAGGAGTGATTCTGCAGTAAATACAATAGGATCTGACTGCCCCCAGCCCAAGATACCCGAGGGTTGGTCACAATTTTTGTTTTTTATATTTTATTTATATAATCAACTGATTAATCATCATCAACAAGAGCCCGGTTGGTTTATGAGGTACAGTAAGTAATGTATAGTAATATTTAGCTTTTCAGCAGATCCAGTTCAGAAAATCTGTGTGGAAATGGAGGCTCCATGTAAAATTAATATGTATGCTTTAAAACAAGAATATGATCAATGACTGCTTAACTTAAACTTTTGTCACACTTGTTGTACTACAATATGTTTGTGATGGATGGCATAGCATTTACGTGGCTTTCTTTTTGAATTCCAGATCCTCAGGCCTCTGGCTGCTGCTGTGTGAGCCTGAAGACTGAGGTCAGAGCTGGTTTCACTGTTTTTAAAAAGCATCTTTGAACTTGTTATTTTGTATTAATAAAGTGTTGGTTTTTAGTTTATAAAGCAAGGAGTTAATGATCATTTTTCACATAAATTGTAATGCCATACTTGTTAAAACATTATCAAATATCGATAATTGAGTGCAAATGGATAACATGTTTTTTGTTACCTTTCACAGATGGACCACCTGAAACAGTTGATGCAGCAGCAGATATCTCTCATCAAACAGTTACTGGAACAGATGAAATAAGATTGACCAAGTACATAACTTTATAGTTCACAAACTTGTTGCAATCTAGTATATTGTGTTTTTGTTTTTTTCCGGACCATGTTCATTTAAAACAAGTTAATTCTGAATGTGGCCTCCAGGAGTGGCCACCCAGCCTCTGATTTTAATTTGGTCAGCATATTTCAGAAGTTGCCATTAAGCTTTTAATTTTGCTTTTTAATTTTGTGTCCTTAATGCTAAAGGTCTACGCTGTTAAGGGTTTTTAACCTGTGGTTAAATTCAGTCACATTCTCACCTTTTTAGGTTTTAATATTCCTGGAGGTTTTCAGAAAAAAATGCTGAATGCACTTTTTGGGTTTGTTAAAAAAAATGTTCAACCTCAATTATCCAAGTGTGTTTTTCTCCTGTAAGTGTGCTGACATGCTATGCTTCCATCTGTTCCTTTGTTCAGTCCAAATCATCTGTTCAGTGGGATGTCCAGCCTGATTGATTTATGTTTGACATGTGTTTCAGTCTTTACATAAAGGGTTCTGTGACCAAAAGAATAGAGAATTGTGATGTTTTAGAGGGCTTTGTGCAAACCCAATGTAAAACGTTTTAGTACTTCACAATACAGATAAGTTGGACCTCTTAAAGCTTAAGGAAAATTGAAGGCCAAATATGTAAAATAAAAATATACACTATAAATACTATAGAAAATGAAAATGGGTGTATATGTATTTACCTATATACACGTAAAATTTATATTTGCAAAAAGATAGATGATAGAATGAGAGTAATGGATGAATTAAAGGTACCTCTCTGTCGGAGTATTATGGCAGCACGCCTTATATAGTGTGAATTAATTTTCTAGAGAAGAAGGGAAAAAGTGTTTACGAGAATACCAATGGGAACAGTTTGCACTGCGCCTTGGTCCCTCCCTGTCTCCGTACTCGCCCTGTGGCGCCCACAATGAGGAGGACGAATTAGACCCTACCGGTGCAGGTACATCAGAGGTGGGCATGGCGAGTAGGTGTGGTCGCTACTCTCCTTCTGTCCGTAGCAGAAAGCACCAGTAGATCACCCTCAGTGCGGAAATAAAGAGGTGTGGGGAGCCGGTGCGGACAGCTTTGAAATTCCTGAATTTGCAGCACTGAACAGCACAAGGTAAGTCAAAAGATTGTATCGCTCATAGGAGAAGCTGCAGTGGATTTATTTTACTACAGTCATGACGCAGTATGTCATGGTTTTGGATGGAATGGGATGTTACTGTTGGGTACTGAATTATGGTTTTCCTGATGCGAGTTAAACTCTTCTAAAACCGATTAAACATTACACCACGTTTGTATATCTTTAAAGTGGCCTTGCATCGACGGCTTACTACAGTGAATACATTTGTAAGTTGAAAGAATTTGTGATGAAGTTTGTGCAATGCATTACTATAAAACGTAACATTAAAACCATGCAAGGACGTGAAAAGTAACACGAAGGCCATATGAGTGAAGTTATTACATAAGGCTGGAATACAATAGCGGGTCTAAAGCATTTGTGAAACTATTAGCCATTTAGTACTTATGTAGACTGACGAGCATCAATTTGTTTAGCTTCTTGAGTAAACCTTCTCTAGTGTTGCATGTCAAGGTCATAACCTCTAGCCCCATCGTAAACCTGCCTTGACCTTCCACACATTTAATGGCGACCAGATGGGAGATAACAGGCTAGAAGTTAAGCATCAAGCAAAACAAACATGTTTGAACTGACAGATTTTTGTGAAATTTTCATCTTTAAATGCTAGCTCATGTCTGCCTGTTGTAAGAGCATGGCTGTGTCCATGGCAAGTCTTTGGGGTAATTTATATTGCAGAGATTACTTAAGGTTTTATTACATCAGGTTGGGGTTTTAATTAAGTTTCCTAGTAATCTGAGAAATGTAAAATGATCCAGTGGAGACTGGGGCTTTGCATTGTCTGTGAGTGGCTGCTTGTGAAACACATTCTCATGCTTAAATGCATACCAAGGCATTTTGAATTATACTTAGTTGTGGCTTTTAATCAGACAGTTCCCCACATGGTGGGTAAAAAGTTTACACATTTGCTCCTCAGTTGTTTTATTGCTGGGTATTTCAGGTGACTCACCCCAAAATAATTTAAACTGTTGTGGATGTTTCTCAAAGTGACACATCCAAGTACAGGTTAGGAGATCTCAGGGTTTTGTATGAAGTTGGTCCAAAAAACTAGCACGCCTTTGTAATTATAAACTACAGAGTGGAGCACTTTCCAGCTTGCCAACCAATTCAAAACAGACGGCACATCCATGGCTTAGGCCTTCCTTTTTTAAAGGTGGTTACATTTTCAGGAATGTCCCAGTTTGTGGATTTATTTTGAATGTTATCCCTGTAGATAAGGACTGATAGCCAAAAGGATTAGGTTAACCATCTCAAGTCAGAAATCAGAAACTGTATCCCACAAAATGACCCTGCTTTGGCTTTATTGTCATAGTGGATTTAGATTTTTAGTGACAGATTGTGAGTCCTGAGAAAAAGATAGGAACATACAGGATTTTGTTTAGTGACTTCTTTTAGTTTAATTTAGTAGAACATCTAGCAGAAAAGTGCTCACTGACAGGCAGAAAGTGAGGAAAGATGAGGGATGAAAGGATCCAGAAGAATGCTTGTGAAGAAGGAGCCAATACTGAGACAGGTGTGTGCAGTGCACATGTGTCTGTGTGATGTGTGTTTTATAAGTAGACACGCACGACTGCTTCCTCCTTCAAGCATGTGTGGGTGTGTGTGCGCTGTGCATGCTGCGCCCTCCCTGGCAGTAATGAACTCTCTTGTCCAAGCAACGTACCAGCGAGTGCACAAATAGAGCATCAATAGCCCCCGGTGATGTTTATCAGCCCCGGGCTCCTCAGACAGCCACTGCATGTCAGCAGATCTATATCGCAGACTTCGCCCTGCACACAGTTCTATCTCTGTCTTAGAAATACACACAGCTTCACCTGTAGGGAGGGGTTTCTCTGGCATTTCCATCCTCTTTAGCCCACCCCAACACACACACACACACACACACACACACACACACACACACACACACACACACACTTCAGCCACAATCAGGATATTATTAAGGCCAAGCATATCGGCAGACGGGGTTAATCAAACCTTGTCTGGATTTTTCTGTCCACCCTTATTTAGAAACAGCAGGGGAACAGCGTATTTAAAACGCATGTCAATATACTTGTAATACACTAATTGCCAAAGATGACAAAAAAAATTTACTCCATACCTTTCCAACAGTGTCAACAAAAATGTAACAACATAGATTTGACAGCGGGTATGGTTAGATTGTAGAGTTGTATCGAATAAACTGGTAACTCTGTGTAAATGAATGATTTACTTCAGGAACTCGGATGCTTTTTGGATTTTGTTGGTGATGGTAAACAGATTTGTATTAAAATGCAAAACACCAAAGATTTGTCTCGCATCGTGTACACTTACTGTAGACAGACCACTCCTGTGTTTCTTTTACTGAACGTATATTAATGGGAAAATACAAATTTAATCATGTAAAAATCCACTTGTGTGATTCAGAATGAGCTCCCCCCCCCCCCCCCCTCCTTACCAGACTTCAGCATGTGTCACTGAAATGCAGATATAGCACAGGGTTTAGATTTATAAACACCAACATTCTGGTGTCCCTCCATGGTGGCTGTCAGTCATCAAGTATCTCTTCGTTGAGATCCCCTTCAAAGGTCAGGGCTGGACCTACACTTGGCTGTGAAAACATGGTAAGAGTAGACTCAGGTAACTACTTGACTTACGTGGTGAAGAAGGATATGTGGCCTGTGGGTAATGTCGTCTTTCATGAACGCTTTAGCTTTCCCCTTTAAACAACACTTAGAGGAAATAGTGTCATTCATTTTAACTTCATTACAGGTCCTCCTGTAGAAGTAACACAAAAACAGTCCTTCCTGGCCTCTGCACAATTGTCCATGCTCAACATTTTGTCTTTCTGGGGATCAGGACTCCCATGGGTTACCAAGATAAACCTGAAGGGTCACAAGATGATTAAAGGTATAAGAGAGAAAGAGGGGGAAAAAAAGGTTTCGATTGCACAAAATGGACTGTTCTATAATTCCGGTGATGATTGTATGCGTTCACCTGTTTAAAGCCTGTAAAATAAATACCAAAAACCTTAAATGAACCATAAAAGAATGACTGGAACTATCAGGGTCCACACTAATCATAACCTCTGATAAGCAATATCTTGCTTCATTTTGAGGGGTCAACCCTTAATGCTCACACAGTTTCTCAACCTATCCTCTGCTCTTTGGTGTATTTTGTTCCTTATTTTTGGTTAAGTGTGTGCCTTTTGTTTATCGTTTCAGGTGTAGGCTACCGACATGCACCCTGATATCCATCTCTCCCTCCTCTTCACACTGCTGCTTTTTCAAGGTCGGGAGATTGAGTTTAACACTGTTGCAATAATTTTTAATTGAGGCATGATCTTCTGTACCTCTCTGGTATTTAAAGCCTTTGGATCAAGGACTGTTCCCATTACTGTTTTTAATGAACCCATATTATTACTACTGTTTGGTCATTAAAAATATTTTGGCATTCAGAAAATATACACAATCTGTCAGTATAGCCTACACAACCTTTCAATATTCTATTGATACCAATGTCTGTGCGGTAAATATGACCAGCAGCCAGTTTGCTTAGCCTAGCATAAAGACTGTACACAGATGGACACAGCTTGTCTGGCTCTGTCCAAAGGAAACAAAATCCACCTACCAACACCTCTAAAACTCACTAATGAAACATTTTTAGTTAGATTAAAATTAAGATGAATGTTAATATTAGGCAAATACTGGTGGATGTAAGTGTTTTCAGAGAGAAAGAATTAAGCCTGTGTAATGTCCTCACAAACACAGTGAGGAACAAGATCAGTGTTCTGGCACTAGTGAGCATATTTGAGATGTTAGCTTGAGCACTGCATGGTAGAAAATGCATGAGGCTTCATTGATGCTCTCCTGGTCAACCTGAGATTCTTTACAATATGTTTTACTGCATAGACCAGCACTGAAGAATTCCTATTATCTTCTCCTCAACGTGATTTCCTGCCTCCCGTACTTAAAAGGCTTCTGGTTTCCAGGCAAGTCAAATTTTGCATCGCTTTTATAGCGTATCGTCAGGACCTGAGAGTATCGGTATTTGCCCAAGGGGAGAGGCGGGTGTCATGGGGCGATATAATCTTTGAGTTGTTTTCAAAAATGACAGCTTTAGCACCATCTGAAGTATTTATTACTGGCCGTTTAAAGACTTTGAACTTGAGCAAACCAGGCTGTTTCACCTTGTCAAGACGCCTCCCCTTCCTCCTGTGCTGACAACACAGATAACATGTTGCATTGCTTCACCGGCAAATATATCCATGTAATCAATGTCAAATTAAATTTCCCAGATAGGTAGACGCTAATCCGACGCTAATAAAGTTTTTAATCTCTCATTTTAAAAGAATATTCCTTATATCTCCCAGACTACAGTGGGGTTAATGCTAATTAGATATACACATTTTTATTCACAGCCAAGGCACTTGGCTGAACAAACAGACTTTTTGTTCAGAGCAGTGAGGCCCTGCTGACCATGAGAGAGCAGCTTGCCAAGACCTGAAACTTTCACTGTCAGGAGGACTGACATTGGAATTGGGGGTAGATGAAAGGGTCAGGACTTAGAAAAGGTGGGAGCTGAGGCCTTTGTGTTGCAGGGGGTACTTCTTTTGGATTTTACACTTTAATGTTTCCTGACCTCATGCAGTTTGCTCCTTTCTTCCAATGAATTTATAATGGACGAGATTTAAAGAGGGATGTGAAGTGTGTAATTAGCAACAAACCCCAACAAAGAATGTGGTCTTCAACCTCCATGCCATAAGAGCAAGACTGTGTTTGGTTCTTCCATTCCCTTGCAAGATACATAATTGTATTATGTGTTTTAGGGCTTTTTGTCTCATTATTTTCTCATATAAATATAACTCTCTCAAAAAGTGTGTTGTTACTCTGATGCAGTTTTGTAAAATGCATGTAGCACTTTGCTGCATCTCCATCGCTTTTGTTCATAGCGGTTGCCTCTATGGACCTCAAATGTGGACAAAGGTTGTCAAGAAGTAATGAAATCACAAGAGCAGGTCGGTGGTGGTCTTTGGAAAGACAGATTAAGAACCAGTATCACTATGGACACCCTGACCGCAGCCATGCTTAGCAGAGCATCTCTCTGTCCATCAACTGAAGAGGAGACTCCTGAGAGGTGACCCAAGCCTGCTGATCTCCGTCTTCTGCCTCAGGCCCCACCAGCTGAACATGATTGGATATTTGTGTCTCCTCTCCTGAACAACACTTAACCTTCTTCAACACGTGTCACATCTTCATGTTCATGGCAGGTGAAAGGAAATGTTTTTATATGCACTTATTGCTGGAAAGACTGCAGCAGATCTTGTACTATTTGTCACAGACAGCAGTTCCTTCAGTGCCTTGCTAATGGACATGATGACAAACAATGCTATAAACAAGATATAAAAAATATTAGGGCTGAAATGATTAGTTTATTTAATTGGTTGGTCGATTCCTTACTTAAGTCACTTATGAAAGAAAAAAGCGACACATTATTTCCTATACAAATTCTTTGTTAAACAAAACAAGCAATTTGAAGCCATGTGACAATTTCCTGACAAATTTTAGAGAAAAAAGATACAAGTAAAAATTAATGTTTTAGTTATATGTAATCCTAGCTTAAATTTTAGTAAAATGTTGTTTTTTTTTTATTTGTGTGATGACAAAACACTAGTCCTTATGACAAATAAATCACCAAAAGATGAAAAACAAGTCTCTGCTAAGTAGCAACTGATGTTTTTCACAATGAATCTTTTAATGTGTTCACTGTAATTTTTGTTAGTGATTTTTCTTGCTGTGCCATGTTTTTTCCCCGAACCTCATTGCAAACTTTTAGTAACAGAAAGATGTTCAGCGTTGGCACTAAATTCTCTGTTGCAGACAATCCACTTTTCCTTTTGAACTTTTGCACACCATTCTTTGATGTGTCTGTCCCTCTTTGTTGTTTTGCTCTTTTGACACTTGAAGAAGTCAATATCACCTATTTTTAACTAATTAGCAAGCAATAAATCAACATGAGGCGGACAGCCTGAAGCATTACAGCAACGCTGATGGGAACAAACGGACAATGTTCTATGTTCTGACTGAAGAGGAGGACTTCGCTATTCAGAGAGTGGAATCTGTTCAATGTGGAGATGCGTGTTTGTAAAATCGCTCAACCGCTCTGTCCCTGTGCTGGACAAATGCCTCTGTGACCCGTCGGGGTTACCAGGGACAACAAGGCGTCACATGTCCCTCATTCCTCTCGGATGTACGTGTGCCTGAATAGAGCATCATCCTTTCAGTGAATGGAGTGAAAGAATGGTTTTCTTCACTTGTCCACTCGCATTAGCTTTAAATACTTCATTATCACTCACACAAGTGGTCAAGTGGGAGTCAGTGAACTGTATTGGCTTGCGGCACAGCATCCTATTTTTATTTTGTTTTAGTCTTTCTGAAGGCTCTAATGATGGTTTTTGAACAACAGTAACACTAATGATGCATATGGAGAAGAGTTGAGGTTTACAGATCAGTGTGTAATCAGTGTTTTTCCTATTTTGAATTTTTCAAAAAACAATTATAACTTTGTGTTGCAGAGATTCTGTTTTTTTCCTTTACTGTTAATCATCTTTAAAACCCTCATATTTACCTTGTTGGGTTCCCGAGTACAGGTAGCCTAGACCTTTACAAACAAATGTTGTGTGTCATAAATTATGTTTCTTTAATGTTATTCTTGAACAAACATTCCTGTATGTTGTGTATAGGGTTTTGTTGGCCTTGCTTGTGTATCTTAATGTCACATGGAGCCATGAATGTGCATAATACTCTGTACATACAGTATGTGTGGACATTTGACTGACCTCTGCGTTGTTTATGATTGTAGTTCAGCAGGGCACCTCAGTGATGGAGATACAAACCAGCCATGAGAACATCATAAAGATCAATTCAGCGGGAGAAAGTGAGTAGCTTACCAAAACCACGTATTTCATGACAAAATGGTTAACAAATGATGCACCGTTCGGTGTACAGTACCACAATAAAATATATATGTAGAGCCCTTATATTAAATATTATAAATATTTATAGCAAATGGTTCTACAGTTAGATTTGGCAGCAGAGGCTTTGCTCTTTGAAGGAGTTACCACAATATCTGAGCATTAACAAGGATTCTGTATGGAGCATAGATCCTCCCTTAATAATAAACACTTGAACAAATATTAGTTAAATCAAAAATACAGAAGACTCAAAACCTAAGAAGCGAGGTTGTGGCACACATGAGTATATCAACTGTGTAAAGTTGTCAGGTTATAATGGTGGTGCTGTACACCTGCATGCATGCAATTGGATGTTAGTAGTCAGCTGATGGCCACATGGTTGGTAAATTTGCCAGTGAAACTTGAATGAAACAGCTGATGCCGATCAGCTAAAGCAAAAATACTGAGGCTAAAGTGCTGGAATGTGCGGGGTCTGACGTAGACAGAGTTGCACAAACGTATCAAAGAATGAAGCAGTTAAGTTACAGTAAGAAGCTTATAATTGTTTTGTATTGTGACAAGACTTTGTGAGAATCCTTTGTGGCAGTGGGTGGTCTTATTAGCCTGGTGTCTGTGTCACAGAAGAAAGTGTTTGGGGGTGACTTTCCCACAAGCACACAGAGTGAGTGAGTGACAGACAGACGGCGCGCTCTCCTTGTCTCTAATGGCTGTCTTCACGATCAGCTGAACATTCTAACATGACAGCAACACTGCTGATTATTTATGCCACTAGCGAGTACAAACATGCCTGGGATGGAGGGAGAGAGAGAGAAACAGCTTTTTGCTTGGTAATGATTTTGTGAGTGTGCTTCTGGGAAAAGAAAATTGAGTGCTGGCATGCTAAGCTGTTTTCTTAATATTATTTCGAAGTATTATTTTCATCTGCAACAGCCAATTTGCCAGGATAATCCCATAGTGCCCATGTACAACAATAGAATAAGTTTGCATCCTTATAGAGATGTCCAGTATCTTTAATTGTGTGTGTGTTTCCATGGGAAGTGATGCAGTGCTCAACAGCCATGGATGTCCTCTTTCTCATGGATGGATCTTACAGCGTGGGGAAAGGCAGCTTTGAGAGGTCCAAACACTACGCAGTCAAACTCTGTCAAGCACTAGACATTGGGCCAGACAAGGTTTGTTTTCTTTCTGTTCTTTCTCTCTCTCTCCCTGTTCCTCTCATGCCAGTTGTTATTTATGTTATTCCACCCTTGTCCAGGTACGAGTCGGCTTGATTCAGTTTGGTTCTGCTCCCCGGCTGGAGTTCGCCCTGGACTCATACACCACCAAACAAGAGCTGAAGAAGCACATTAAGAAGATTTCTTACAGGTGTGTTCCTCGTCTCATATCACCCTCTGACAAATAACGGTTTGTGTAGCAAAAGACTTTATTAGAGTGTGATTTTTAGAGTGGGTGGTAGTTATTAGCAATCTGATTTTCATGCTGCTGCAGCAATATGATTGAGAGCCTTTTGATCATGAATGTATAAAATGATACAGAAGCACATATGTTGTTGATAAAGTCAGATTAAGCTCTGACAATTATTTAACAAATGAAACACACTGGGGTTTATGACAGAGACACCTGATTCCATTTTCTCAAGTTGGCAGTGAAATATGGTTGAAAGCATAAAAAAGCTATAAAGTGAGCCTTGAGAGAATATTTTAATTATTTAATTTTAAAAATGTATGTTCTCAGAGAGTTGTTAATTATCAGTACGCTACCAGGAACATCTGCCACAAAGATGTCTTCTAGGAAGTTTACAGGGACAAAGGCATTGGCACAAGATGATGAGAGGGAATAGGGTTCAACATGTGTATAAATCACAGCAATTACCTTTTAACGTGTATTTACACTCTGTATGTACAAACAGGTCGATTTAGTTCAAACTTATGCTGAAACACACCCATATACACGCAATCAGAGGCTAAGTAATACAAATGCTCCCTGTAAACGAAAACAAATTAATTTCAGATTAGACCACATGTGGTCACTGGATATTGGATTAGTGCATATGTCGAGACAGAGGAAGATAACATAGGCTGTGTGCGTGATGTTCACAGTGTGCTGGTAACATTTTGCCATGCCATCTGGTTTGAAATTGCTTCTCATGTTATGAAATTATTAACATCAGCTAAAATCAAGTGCCTTAGAGCTTTCAAGTGTAGCAATATACTGCAGGTGTTTGTTTATTCATGTATTATTGATAATGCACTTTTAATGAATTTGGTGTAGTTTTCCAGTCAGAACAATTATATATCCCTCTAGGTTTATGTCATATGCGCCTCTTCTTCCGACCAATGATATGAGCAAGAATATGAATAAAATGAAACAGCACTGCAGAAAATGTCTCAAACAATTTAACATTAAAATGTGTGAAAGAAGGGGCACCAGTTAGCTCACCACTAGAGTGTGCGCCCCATGTGCAGAGGCTGAATCCTTGCTGCAGCAGTGGCTGGGGGTTGACCTGTCCCTTTGCTGCATGTCATTCCCCCCATCTTTCTACATTTCTTGGCTCTCTCAACTGTCCTAGGATAAATAAAGCCCCCCAAAAGTACCTTTTAAAAATGTTTGTTTGAGAGAATCTGACAAATACTCAAAAGGAAAACCACAGTAAACACACCCAGTATTGTAAGAGCAAGTCTTAAAACGGGATAAAAACTGTGAAAAACAGCTACAGAAGCTAATCAGAAAATAAGTCTTTATCCATCTTTGTTGTTTAAGTTTGCCTACTGCACTTAAAACAAGTATTCACCAGTGTCTAAGATACAACTGGACAACAACTAAAATCTGAGCGCAGTATGTGTTATGTAAGATGTGTTGTACAATACATTCAGTTGTTCATATAAATCTTTAAAGCTAATATCTTAAAAATAAACCTTAAGGCATTAGGTTTTTGCTGTATTGTCTTGTACTGTACTGCAGCATTCATGTCACTGATTTAGTTTCAGCAGTCCTTTCTCCTTCATCAATCATGAAGCACTGTTTATTTGCGTCTAATGGGAAGACAGAAAGCGGCGCCTGCTCTGAGTGACATTAATGTCCTTTTGACAAAATATAATAGGTTTTAAATGTTTGGGTTTTTTTTAGCCCTGGGGTGATGATCCTTAGCCAACACTCAATTCCAAGTACATCTTCAGTGCAAGAACTAAAAGATGAATCCAACCATATATGTGGTTCAGTTTGGCAGTTATATGCAGTACTTTATTGACTCTGCTGGCTTCTGTAGTACTGTACATCTTCTCTGATTGTTCTGTTTCAGTATTATTCTAACAATAATATGAAAAGTCCCCTCAACACTATTCCCAAACTCTGAACTCCCAGGGGAGGCGGCACCCAGACAGGCCTGGCTCTAAAATACGTGCTGAGGAAGGGTTTTCCAGGCGGCCGTAACTCCTCCACGGCGGCCCGGATCACCGTCCTCTTATCAGATGGGAGGTCTCAGGGGAACGCGGTGCAGGCAGCTGCACAGCTCAAAGAGACAGGCGTGGTCTTGTTCGCCGTGGGCCTTCGCTACCCCAGGTATGTTTGATGGGTGGAAAATAATAATAATCACTGCCAATTATAATACATTACTTCTTTTTTTTGTGGTTAAATCTCTGTTTTCTGTTATTCCAGGTGGGAAGAGCTACATGCTTTGGCCAGTGAGCCGATGGAGAGCCACGTCTTTTTCGCCGAGCATTTCCATGATGCTGTCAATGGGCTGTACACCACACTGACCGCCTTCTCTGTCTGCAGTGCCACACCTGCAGGTGGGACTCTTCGACAACACTCTTGTATCCACTCATATGGACTTAGATTATTAGTTTGATCTCAGTGGACATAAATGATGAGACAAAATTAATTGTGCACTGGAGAAACCTACATTCATTTGTGTATGAAAATGAGGAACTCTTTCCTTCATATACCCACTTACCGATCCTCCTGTGCTGTTCCCCAGGCTGTCAGGTGGAGTTGTTTCCCTGTGAGAGGAAGACACTGGAGACAGTGAAAGAGTTGCAGGGGAATTTCATGTGTTGGAAAGGCTCCAAGGGTTATTCCCCATACACGTCTCTCTGTCCATTCTACAGGCAAGTGTACACGAATGCACGCATAATGCAAATTTTTGTCTTGTCTTCCTCACTTTGAAGTCAAAAATACATCTTTTATGAGAAGATGAATTTTGAATTTTCACGCTTTTACAAGAGAAAGCTTATCCCCCTATTCTTCAAAACCAGAGTCACCATTTTAATAGCCACAACTTCGTTAACAATATGATTTACAAGCATTTCTTTAAATCAGAATGAGATTTTTGGTAACTTTGGAAACTTGTGACCAGACTTTAATAATCTAATGATGGAGCCACCGCAGTGTGTGGCAGGTACTGAAGAGGAATGATGATTAAGTGGGAGGCTGGTGTCAGTCTTGGGGGAGGGGGGAATCTATGCATTGGAAACAAATATGTAACTCTTGTCTTTGCTCAACAAACCACAAGACTGTGGTTGTTCAGCAGGGCAACTCCCATGTTTTAATGTGCTGTGTCAGTGTAAGGGGTGCTAATAAAAACAAGCAGTTTAATTGCGTTAGACCTTCCCCGGGCAAATTAAAAAGGCCTTTGACAAAACTAATTTCACAGCACATTGCAACTTTACCACAGTGAAGTGGTCGAAGGCAAATCAAGCTCACAGATCCTATCAACAAAACCATCATAACTTTTCATTTGATCTTTCAGTGTTTGTCTTTCACAAAAGGGGGTTGTTTTTCTTGCAAAACACACATTTCTTATCCATTTTCAAGCTACCTGAACAAGGGAACTTTGTGTGTGTTGCAGGTACAACAAAGTGTACAAGAGACACCAGACAGTCTGCCATCGGACTATCTGTCCAGGTAACAAAACTGTTCCTTCTCTTACTTTCTCTCTGTAAGATGATGCCTTTTCATATACATTTACATTTAGGGCATTTAGCAGATGATTTTTTTGTCCAAAGTGACTTACAATAAGTACATTTGTCAGAAGAAAGTGAATAAGCAGTAGATTGCTGTCAGTTTATAGTAAGGATTTCAATACCTTCAAGCACTCATGATTGCTAGGTTAGCCATTGTTGGTAGACAGCAAAGATAGCGAGGCTAGGATGCTACACAGTGCTAAGTACTATTTTTAAGAGTCAGGATGTACAAACATACAGATGCATACAGTAGGAGGAGGCTTTGAAGAGTCCAGGTAAACTCTGAATAAGTGAGTCTTGAGCCTCTCACAGGAAGCTAGCACAGTGATGGTGCCTACGTCCTGCTATTCTCTCTCTCTACTACTCTGTAGATCCCTGTGACTCTCAGCCCTGCCTGAATGGTGGAACATGTGTATCAGAAGGTCCAAAGGGTTACCACTGCGTATGTCCACCTGGCTATGGAGGAGACCCACACTGTGGTATCTACACTGTCTTTACTTAGATATTAGCATTGCCCCACTGGCCAAATATTATTGCTCTCTACATGCTGAGAATGAACTAACTGGACCCTCCATCCCTCCTCAGCTCCTGCATTATCACTGGACTGCTCTGTAGACTTGCTGTTCCTGGTGGAGGGCTCTTCCACGCTCACATTGGAAGGCTTCCTCCGCCTCAAGTCCTTCTTAAAGCGCTTCCTGCAGACTGTGATCGGGTCGGACAGCCCCAGTAAAGTTGGCCTGGCGGTTTTTGGCGCAGAGGCAAGAGTCGTGGCCCAGGTGGGGAAGTTCAAAAGGGACCTCAGAGGTCTGCTTAAGGCTGTGGAGGCACTTCAACCAATCGGCGGCGAGACCCAGACAGGCCAGGCACTTCGTTACGTTACACGTCACGGCTTCGTGAGCGCGCCAGTCTATGCAGACGTGTCGGACGATCTGCCCCGTGTGGTGGTACTGCTCACTGCCACTCCCGCTGTTGACGAAGTGGTAGAGCCGTCTAAATATGCACGCGACAGAGAGATCTTCTTGATAGGAGTGGGACCAGACTACTTAAAGGGACAACTGAATAATATCACAGGAAATCCCCAGAGGACTATCACCTACTCATCACCTGAGTTCAGTGCCAAGATCCCTGAACTCAGGGCTAAGATTTGCAGTGTGGATACACAAGGTACTGACTGATCAACATAGTACTTATTGGGGCCCTGTAACAGGACAAAAATCATGTTTACATTCAGTCCAAATCAAACCAAATCCATTGTGTGCATCACTGAGGTCTAACAAATGTGTTAAATATATTTCCTTCCTCATAAAACATTTGCAAAGTCAAGTTTGAAACCAGAATTGTTTGCATTCATGTTCACTAACAAGCAGTCTTGTTCCTCACTGCCTTTGCATGGCACATTGCTGCGCACCTTGGCATACATGCTTTAGGTCAGTGAAATAGTGTGAAACCATTAGCCTGAAAGTGTACTGAAACACCCACTCGTAAAAAAACTAGATGTCAAAAACTGCACTGGGTACTTTTAACATTCAGTGCATATGCTAAATATTCTTCCCAGGATGTATATTTTCCTAGTTTGCAGATGACTACTTACTGTATACTTAAGGCTAGGTTAGACAGAGAAACTAGCCAGAGACGGCTAGATTTTGAAAGTATCCAACCAAATAAATCCCAACCCCTCCCTTCAGACCTGCTTATAACAGTCCTGTGACAGTCACAGATGCAAGTTGTTGTTTTTTCAGAGCGTTTGATTTATTGACTGTTGTTGGGATATAAAGAAAATTTCAACAAAAAGTAACAAAAAATGCTTCTGAAAGGAATTGCCTACCCCAGCTTTAATACCTAATGTAATATCCAAATTGCCATTAGGATCCAGATGTTCCAAATGTGAATAACGATGTGATGTTATGGTCTTTCATTTTGAAAGGGAGAAATGCATGCACATCTAAGAAATGCTAAAAAATTTTCAAAATTCATAATAATTTATTAGCACTTATTAGAACACTTATTAAGACGCAAAAGATAACATTTAATCTTTAAAATCTCCCTTTTTCTGGCATGTAGAATAATAAACCCTCTTGAAATACAACTTCCAAATCATATTTTGTATGTTTCAGCTGATACTAAATGTATATTTTTACATCATCATTTGTTGTCTTTTTTTGTTTTTCAGGTTGTCTTGGCCAAGCGGTAGACCTGGTGTTTGCCCTGGATGCCTCAGGTGGTGTCAGCCTTGATAACTTTGACACCCTGCGCGACTTTGTGCGCAGCCTCACCGTCCAGTTCGACATCAACCGTGATGTGGCTCAAGTGGCACTTGTGACCTATGGTCGGAGAGCCACCAGCGTCTTCAACCTGGACACCCATGAGACCGGCTCTGCCATCCTCAAGGCTGTAGGTGATGCCAGCTACGTAGGTGGAGTGGCTTCTACAGGCACAGCTTTACTTCATATCCACTCCAACGTCCTGACAGTGGCCAAAGGGGCACGGCCCGGAGTCAATAAGGCTGTGGTGGTGGTGACGGATGGTTCAGGCGGGGACGACGCTGGTGTCCCAGCTCGAAAGATAAGAGAAAATGGAGTCTCACTGTTTGTGATCGGTATCGGGGATGTACAGAGAGAGAGGCTGCTGCAGATTGCTGGTTCAGAGGAGCACATGATCTCTGTGCCGTCTTATGAGGATCTCAAGTACTTTGAGGATGTGCTGGTGCAGATGCTGTGCTCAGGTGAGAATGCAGGGAAATACCTCCGATACCAAATCTTAACAGGACATCTTGTTCGCTCCTGTTCTGTGGATAGGAATAAGGGGTTTATTAAGAAAAAAAGTGATCTGCAATGTATTGTTTGTGATTTAATTGCTGTATTTCCATTTACTAAAATATTTTATGATAAATATCTTGCTGTTAGAGGCTAAAATGCCAGTAAACCTGTGCAAGCCCAACCCGTGTATGAATGATGGGATCTGCATCGTGTCCGGAGGGAGCTTCCGTTGTCGGTGCCAAGGCTATGAAGGACCACACTGTGAAACAAGTCAGTGGTATTCAATTCTTTGTTTTCTTACTTCTTGCCTTTGTATCCCTCCTTCTGCCTTCTATTTCCTTTTTTAATAATTTCACTATCCTTACTACTTCCTATATAAACCTTTCCTCTTTTCCGTTTATTAGTCAGTTTGATACTTTTTAAAATGTTCTGTCTGGCTCACCAACCACTCTTGTTACTTCTGTTGTTGTCACAGACAGTTACCCAAAGATCAGTGTAGCAACAACTGCATTATTTACATTAGCAGAGGTTGTGACTTTTTCTGTGGTTTGTCCATAGGAAGCAGCAGACCTTCATCCAGAGGAGATCTTCCGAGGCCTAGTGGTCTCAGGAAGAACAGCAGGCAGAAGAAGAGCCACCAGGAGCTCTTGCATCACTACAAACTTCACCGCAGGAGACATGCTGCCTGATACATTAACCCCATAGAAACATGTCACTTATGGACACCAAGGGTGTTTGTGGGTACACAGTGGAGTAAAAGGGAAAACTAATATTACTGTTTCAATATTTAAACTTGCACTCGAACTTCAACAAGTGCCTTCCAACTCTATATATTTCTACCGCAGTGTTTTTGTTTTTCTTGAATTTGTCAGCCATCACTGTACTCACTGTTGTGCAGCGTCAACATGGTTCTCTTGTCAATTCAAAAATGTAAACTTTTATGTTATATTATAGTGTGTATATATCAGTGTCATAATTTTATTTTATTTTTTAATGTATAATCACCACAACCTGCTTTCCTCCTTCCAACCAAGACTGAAACATGAAATTTGTGCCAAAGAACACTTTTTATAGCAAGTGCCAAATATAATATTTGGACATTCTTCTTTACAAAAACTGCTTTTTTTTAGATGTTAAAATGGTGTTTGTTAAACATAAACATGTGTGTATTTCCTTATATAGTTAAAACACTCAGGAAAAAACGTATAATGCAGCAAATTGCATAATGTATGATTTATCAATTCTGCTTTAGTAAAAAGTGTCCATATTAAACAGTAGAATAATTCCACTTGTACAGCTAACACACTTTAAAATGGTAGATTTGAAGTGGCTAGTCATTTAAATTAATTTAATTTAAAACTGAAACACTTTGAACCTTTGAAACATTTTCCAGATGAACATCCAATTATCAAATGACTCCCCTTCATGAATGCTTTATTACTTCATTAGTGAGAAGTGACGGAGTTGACTGTAAAAATTACCCTGTTAAATTTTAATGCCGTAGGATTCAGTGTCCAACTTTGAGTCAATTTTCAATAGACAGGCAGGACTGGAAGATGTAACGAAGGCAAAAGGAGACATTTAAAGGAATTTCAGGCCATGATTGTTGTCAGTACATTTTTATTTGATTAAAAAGTGCATGTTTAGCTAGCAATACAAGCCAAAAGGCTGAATAATGGTGTAAATATATTTACATCTTGGCTACCAGCATATATGAACCAAGCTACAATCTAGAGTGTACAAAATGGCCAATTTTGTAGAGGGGTGTCTTGCTGTCTCAAACTTCTGTGGTTTCAAATGTTTGGCTGTTTTCCATGCTGAAACATCCCATGTGTGCATCTTTATCAGGAACAATTGGAGACTGGCCATGATGCTACTACTTTAATGTCCTCGCTTTAGCAAATGGAGAAAAAAAAACTTGAAAAGTCATTGCAACTAAGATTATCCAGTGGTATTTGAGAAGACTGCTTGTGCATCGCTCTGATTGGCTCTTTATAGTCGTGGCAAGGAAAGTGATGAGAATGAAGGATCCAGAGTCCTGTGGGTGCTGATTTAACCGTCTGGTCTGGTCACTCGGCAGTTCCTTGCTGAAGCAGGACAAGACCAAGAGAAATTTGTGGATTTGGGGCATTCAGGGTTTCCTTCTAGGTTGCGGATTTCTTCTCCCACTCCTGTTAATACAACAAAAATGAAATGTATTTTTTTTGACTGTATAAATTATATACAATCATAATGGTATTTCCAGAAATGTACATTCAGGTGCTGTGTGGAACTTATTGATTCTTGAAATGGGACCAAATTCTCAATTTATGTTTCAAGACATTCCTTAAAGATCTAATAAGCTTGTGTGCTTTCAGTACACACACACACACACACACACACACACACACACACACACACTCTATAGTCTCACCTTAGCTTTCTGTAGGACTTTGCCTGTGGTGGCCATGATAGAGGCAGGCCTGCTCTTTAGCGCAGAGGCAGAGTTGACTGGGGAGGCTGGGTCTGCATTGACGCTGCTGTTGGAGGGTTGGAAGGATGATGATGACAACGACGTCTGGGGAGCAGGCAGGGTTGCTGTTTTAGGCTGAGGGTAAAACGGTAGAGAGGTAGTTAGGGAGGGATGCTAACAGCAGCTCTGACTAGAGAGTGGAAGTTTTGGTTGTCAAGTTGTTACATATAAACTCACTTCCTGTGTTCACCCTTATGACTAAGCGCTTGTACTTCAAGTGAACAGATTCTGCTGATGGGGCTCTGAAATTCCACATTTATACCAATGAAATCAGTCACAAACCGTGGGTGTGTCCTGGAGGCTGCTGTCCAGTGTGGTTCCCAGAGTGAAAGGCCCAGACTCCACCTTCTTCAGACTTTGATTCACTTCTACCAACCGTAGCTCCACTTCTACCCTGCGCTGCTCTGCCTCTCGACACGCCTCCTCTTTCTGCTTCAAACGGGCTTCTAATAAGGCCTGTTGCTTGGGATCTGAGGATAACAGACAGCTGATCAGTGACACAGATCATTGCAAACCTGGTCATCGAAACAGTGACGTGCCACAACAAGTGTAGGTGTACCTTGACAGGCACTGAGCTCCTCTCTGGTATCCCTCTTCTCCTTCTTCAGGCTTGCCAGACTGCTCCTCACCTCCTCCTTCTCTTTCTCCAGGCGGTCGCGCTCGTCGATGTAGCGCCGCAAGTCTGCCTCTGTACGGTTCTTGCCCAGTTTCCCTTCAACTGCACCGGGACACCCTGGGGAATTAAAGATTGAAAGTTTGTACATTTTAGCTCATTCACAATGAGTAAAACAATATCCAACATTTTTCATGACATTTCCCCAAGAGTGCGAAGGGGAACAAAAAAAGGTGCATTCATTCTCTCACTTGAACTGTAGTGGATGCAGCTTTTCACTAGAGGGAGCCGTGGCAATGTAATGTAAGATTACAAGGGAAGGGAAGCAGTTAATCTCACTCATTTACTCACTAAAATTTAATTATTTTAAGACCATTTTCTACTTAATATTGAAAATGTACTTCTTAAGATCCTTAAAAAAGGTCTGTAGAGGTGGTGATAGTGATACCAATAGTTTTGATATGCTCGCAACACTAATTATAATATAGAGTACTAATACATTTGTCACCTACAACATTGCCAAACACATTTCCACCATTTTAGCTCCATTTTTGGGAAACACGCCTCACCACGTCCAAAACTGGATCCAGATGAAACCATGGTATCCTATGACGTGACTTCTTTGTTCACCTGCATCCCCACCATAGAGGCAGTAGAAACCGTAAGGAAACGGCTAACACAAGACAACACCCTGGACAACAGAACTAGCCTCAGCCCAGACCAGATCTGTAAATTACTCGACCTCTGTCTAAACACCACCTACTTCCAGTACAACGGTGGATTCTACAGACAGAAGCATGGCTGTGCCATGGGCTCACCGGTATCCCAGATTGTGGCAAACATCTACATGGAAGAAGTGGAGAATAAAGCCCTCAACTCCTTCAGAGGAACAGCACCGAGCCACTGGTACAGATATGTGGACGACACCTGGGTCAAAATTAAAAGCCAGGAAGTGCAAGCCTTCACAGAACACATCAACTCTGTGGACAGTAACATCAGGTTCACACGAGAAGATGTTCACAACAACAGTTTGGCCTTCCTGGACTGTGCTGTACACATTGAAGAGGACAGGAGCCTGCAGATTGGTGTTTACAGAAAACCCACACACACAGACCAATACCTACTGTTCGATTCCCACCACCCACTGGAGCACAAGCTAGGGGTCATGAGAACACTGCACCACAGAGCGGAAAACATACCAACAAGCGCCCAAGCCAGAGAGAAGGAACAGAAACACCTGAAGGGGGCACTGACAGCCTGTGGATACCCTAAATGGACCTTTGTGAAGACAGCCACAAGATCCAAGAAGAACAAAACTACAGGGGTGGAGGAAAAGAAGGTCACACGCAACAACATTGTGATTCCATACGTGTCTGGAGTATCAGAGAAACTCAGGAGGATTTTCAACAAACATAACATCCCTGTGTTTTTTTAAACCCAAGAACACACTAAGACAGATGCTGGTACACCCCAAAGACCGCACACCCAAACACAAGAAAAGCAATCTAGTGTATGCGGTCCAATGCAGTGAGGAATGCACAGACCTGTATATTGGGGAGACTAAACAACCACTACACAAACGCATGGCTCAACACAGAAGGGCCGACTCCTCAGGTCAAGACTCTGCAGTCTACTTACATCTGAAGGACAGAGGACACTCGTTTGAGGACCACCAGGTGCACATTTTAGACAGAGAAGATGGATGGTTTGAAAGAGGTGTCAAGGAAGCCATCTACACCCGGGAAGCCGTCATTGAACAGGGGAGGGGGTCTACGCCACCACTTATCCCCCACTTACAATGCTGTCCTTTCATCACTTCCCAGGAAACTCAACAAACGTAACCTATTGGCCTCAGGTGAAGATACCAACGATGGTCGTTCAGTCTTGGCCACAGGTTGTCTTAACAACTGTAATGACTGTCGTCACAGCAACAAGGAACACTAACGAACCAGCGGTATCGATGACCCGGGCCAACGACCCCACTGAGGTTAAATAGCTGAGTTTCCCTGCCAGTCAGTCAGAACTGAAGAAGTCCTTTGGATGAGGGACGAAACGTCTTCCAGTATCTTCAACCAAGTCCAGTTGCCCTTGACTTTAACCTTCGTTGGATAACTATGACCTGGATGACTGAGAATTCATAGATAAAACAAATACATTTGTCTATTTCTCTCTTTTAACATGGGACCTAGCAAACCCAATATTCATGTTTTTTTGTCCTCACCTATGGTATGTGCTTTGGGCCGCATGGGTTGAGGACTGTGAGGGAGTCCGGAAGCAGTCGGAAACGTTTGGCCTTTATGGACCTGTACCCCGGAGGAGAGGAAGGTCTGTGTGATTCCCAGGCTGGTCCTCTTGGGGGTCTCCTGGCTTTGGGACGAGGTCTTGACTGGCTGAGTTTGTGGCCGCGGTGGAGTGGGAGTCGGGGGACGCTCTTCTTCTGGTTTGCAGGCAGCAGAGGTCGAACTTGTTCCATTTAACATAGGTGCAGATTCTGGCTCAGTAGGGTTTGAAGGGTTTGAAATGACCTAGAGTTGACAAATAAAATACTTAATTAAAGCACAAAATATAACATATAAAAGGTAATTTAACTACATAGACAGACAGGCCTTGGTTCAGAGAAAGGTCGGATATAGTATAATAATACATCTGTTTTGGTATCCTGAATTTATAACAGCGCTATATATATATATATATCTGTTCTATCTATTACCTACCTCTTTCACTTGAGATACGGGGTCTTTCTCATGCTCTACTGGGACTGGTGAATGTCCAGAAGTTTCTTTGGCAGGGGGGGCTTTACCCCCAGTGGACGTATGGAGGAAGGAGCGTACAGGGACTAGGTCCAAGTAAATCCTGTTTTCAATGTCCTGCTCTGTTCCCACTGAGCGTGTTTCATTATGTTCCTGCAGACTGTTGTTTTCACTGTCTGGCAGGCCACTCTCTTCAGCATCCTGCATGACAGGGGAGTAGGAAGTTATGAGATGGAAAGTGGCCAGATGAAGTGAATCCATGTAAAAATGAAACCGAAATTGAAAACATTACATTACAGAACAACATAGAGGCTGAAGTCCCCCCCCCAAAAAAACACCGCCCGTGATGATTTTAGTGACTATTGTTAGGTTTACACCAATCAACATTTCTGTGGATATTAGAGATGAAACATTTG